TGTCTGCGGATGATAAGCAGAACTCAACCGCAACTTCGTACCCAAAGCACTTTGCAAACATTCCCAAAATCTCGAAGTAAACCTCGGATCTCCATATGACACAATGTTAGATAGAATACTATGCAAACTGACAATCCTCTCAATGTATAGCTTTGCTAACTTCTCCAATGGGTCATCTATTCTCATTGGAATAAAATGAGCAGATTTCTTTGATCTATCCACAACGACCCAAATAGCCTCGCAATTACACGGTGTTCTAGGTAAACCAGACACAAAAGCCATCGATATGATATCCCATTTCCACTCAGGAATAGATAACGGTTGCATCAAACCCGACGATTTCTGATGTTCGAACTTCGACTTCTGACAAGTCAAACAAGAATACATAAACGCTGTAATTTCTTTCTTCATACTAGGCCACCAAAATATTTTTCTCAAATCCCGATACATTTTAGTAGTACCCGGACGAATACTCAATCCACTATGATACCCTTCCTCAAGAATACTCTTTTTCAGCTCAGCTATATCCAAACACAAACTCTATCACGGCATCTCATAATACCATTTTCATCAATCTTAAAATCACCACCTCGACCTTGATTGATCAAAGTCAATCGATCTACCAAACTCAAATCAAATTTTTGACCTTCCCGAATCTCATCAAGAATACCACTAGTAAGCTTCAGCATACCAAGCTTAACTTCATGAGAAGTCTATTCACAAACCAAACCCATATCTCAAAATTGCTCAATCATTTCTAACTCTCTTACCATCATCATCGACATTTGCAAAGATTTCCTACACAATACATCAGCTACTACGTTTGTTTTACCCGGATGATAATTCAAACCAAAGTCACAATCTTTTAGAAGTTCCAACCATCTTCTCTGCCTCAAATTCAACTCTTTCTGATCAAAGAGATATTTCAAGCTCTTATGAATACTAAACACTTCAAATCTCAATTCGAACAAATAATGCCTCTAAAGCTTCAATACAAACACAATAACAGCTAACTTTAAATCATGCGTCAGATGATTCCTCTCATGCACTTTAATTTGCCTTGAAGCATAAGCTACAACTTTCTGATATTGAAGCAATACACCTCCTAAATCCATCAATAATGCATCACAACACACAACAAACAGTTCTGCCAGATTCGAAAAAATCAAAACAGGAGCTGTAGTCAACCTTCTTTTAAGCTCTTGAAAACTTTCTTTACACTTTGCATTCCAAACAAAAGCTTGACCCTTCCTAGTCAAATGCATAATGACGAAGGTAACTTGACAAATCCTTCAATGAATTTTCGATGATAACCTGCTAAAACAAGAAAACTTCTAATCTCAAAAACCGATTTCAGAGCTTCCCACTGCGACACCGCTTCAACCTTCAACGGATCAACTATAATAATTCAACTCGAAATCACATGGCCAAGGAAACTCACTTCCTTCAACCAAAACTCACACTTAAAAAGTTTAGCATACAACTGCCTCTCTTTCAACACAGATAGCACAATCCTCAGATTCTCAACATGATCCTCTTCACTCTTCAAATAGATCAAAATATCATCAATGAACACAACCACAAACTTGTCCAAATAAGGATGAAAAATCATGTTCATGTACTCGATAAATACACTTGGTGCATTAGTCACACCAAATGGCATCACAGAATACTCATAATGACCATACCTTGTTCTAAAAGTAGTCTTCTGAATATCTTCAGCCTTCACACGAATCTGATGATACCTAGATCTCAAATCTATCTTACTGAACACACTTGCACCAACCAACTGATCCATCAAATCATAAATCCTCAGAAGTGGATACTTATTCTTGATAGTCACCTTGTTCAATCATCTGTAATCCACACAAAGTCTCATAAAACCTTCTTTCTTCTTGACCAAAAAAACTGGTGCACCCCATGGTGACACACTCAGGCGAATGAATCTCTTCTCAAGCAGATCTTCAAGTTGACTCTTCAACTCTTTCAATTCCGATGCATATATACGATAAGGAGCCATTGATACCAAACTAGTTCCAGAAACTAAGTCAATCGCAAACTCCACTTCATGTTTCGGTGGTAACTCACTTATCTCATCATGAAAAACTTCCAAAAAATCATAAACAATTGGAAAAACACCAACTTCCCCACTTTCACTAACACTCAAAGTTTCCATCAACATAAACATCTCAGCACCATCCTGCACCGGCTCACCAAAACAATCTGTAAGTACTTGGCTTAACTCCAAATAATTCACTGCATACACCATCTAAACTCGCAAGACATGTTTATTACATCCAACATGATCCCGCCTACTATCAATAAGAGATTAAGGGTGATCGGTTCCTCAATTTTTCAATAGATAACCGACAATAATGATAGGGCATAAATCATCTTTACCAAACTATAATAGCATTCAACGACACACTGAGCCACCACTCCACACTTGAAGCATCTTGGAAAGGCACAAGCTTCCCTCCCACTTATTTCAATCCCACTCCTGTACACAAAGGCTAGAAAAACAAACATGTAACAACATTGTTTTCACACACATGTCACATACTAGGGAATAAACAACATTAGACAACTTGGATGGACCGACCTGCTCTAATACCACTAATGTAACACCTTTCTAAACCCCGCAAAATATATATAAATAATCAGAGTAAATTATCATGCATCTCAAATAAGGGTGTCACATATAATTCAAAACATCACAAATACACTTGTCATGCTCAATAACACTTAATATAAATTCATGATTTTCATATACTTTCACATAGCATGTAGCAGCGGAATCACTTTCATTCATAACGAACATAATAAATAGTCTCATAAAAAACTCATTCATATCAGCACTTAGGCATGAAAACCAAAACTCCACATAATTCAAATAACGATAGCAAAATAAAATAGAGTACATAAAGTATCTCTCCAAACATGAATCAAAATGTTCTCAGTGTTACATGAACAGAGCATGACTCGATCCAAAATAAATAAGGACACTAAACAAGCTATTCCAACGGCTACCTCGTGCTAGAAGCAACTCTACTCCTCGGTACCTAAGCAATGTCGTACAAAATATCATTCCAACAGAAGGGTGAGAATTCACATGATTATCGAAATCATAAGATAATATATAATTTATGGCATACAAACATAACATGATTATTCTCACACTCCAAAAGCTTCATCAACATATTATCACTCAAGTGACCATACTATTCACAAATACATACTCAAAATTCCATAATTTGCCAATTCATCAATTTCACATATTTCGCATAATCTCATATTGCAAACATATACATGATGTGACTCAATGAAAGACAATAATGCAACTCATGCATGTGGTAACAATCACTTGTTATTATTTTTTGGTTTTTACATTAAACTAGGTCTGTTCTCTAGACCAATAACACACAAAAAGCCAATTCTCTAAGCTTTCAAACCCGCTCTAGGTTTGGGACAAGTCACTAGTTCCCACGAAACTAACAAACATTACCTCTTGACAACAAATGATGCATGTGCAAGTTCAACAACCATATGCAATTAAGACCATTCTTTATCTTAACATTCATGCATATGTTCAATAATTCATCACATTTGAATTACAACACAATTACATATACTTTCACATTTTTATGAATCATCCATACACAATTTACTTTCAAATAGTATACAACATATTTTACAAAATAATTACAACTGTATTATCATTACAACAAGCAATAACTATCATTAATTTCATGTTGTCACACCAAAAATATAATTATACAAGCACACACATAAGTATTCAATAAATTATCTACAATAATTTCACAATCGGCAGCAAACAGTGCAACAATTCATTAATAGAATATATACACAATTGACTTCCCAAGCATATTAGATATAAAAATATTATGCAACCAATTCTATTATTTATACTATGTTATAGCTCTATTTATTAGCTTTCCAACACTTCGAATAGGGACCAAAACAAATTTATGGATTAAAAGTTACGTCTATTCTGCAATCACTCACTACAGGTTCGCTACTACTCACGTCGCGACTTTCGTTATGCGAACTCTCCAGGACAGCAACCCAAAAAAGTGTGATTTTCGCAGTTTGGAGGCCTTCCAAACCTCCGAATTCGATCCCGTAAAAATTTCCAGTTCCAGAATTTGAAATACTACCATTGTATGACAACTATAATAGCCTACAACACATATTTAAGGATCCTATCATCATACATCATGTAATCATCAATTTCAAAATCATGAAAATTAGGGATTTTGATCCTAAATATGATACTACCCATTATACACTACCATACAATTTCATAACCATGTAAAGACCCATATTTACCTTGATTCTTTGGATTTTAGAGTTCTTGTTCTTGGGGGTTTTCTCCTCCTTTACTCCACTTATCTCTTTGTCTCTTTTCCTCTTTTCTATGTTTCTAAGCTTATTCTCTCTTTCTCTTATTTTATCAAATCTCACAATTTCTCATTATTCTAATGGAATTACTTAACTCACTCTCCCACTTATTATTCACACTCCCAATCTAGGCCCAATTACTTATTTCTACCATTTCCACATATTATTCCATCAAATCAAATAAATCAAATAAATCAATTATGCACAAAATCACTCAATTAATTAATATAATATAAATAAATAAATCATTTCTAAAATTATAGTGTTACAATATCTCTATTAACTATATTTCCGTCCTGATCAAACAATTATCATTCCTAAGACGCTGCTATGACACATAAATGTCGATAAAGTATGTAACTAATCCTACTTAAAGTATGTAACTATCTACAACATGGATTTTTTGTAATACTTGTTAATTTGTGAAATAAATCTTAATAGATTTCATTCTGAGCGGTTGGATCATATTGTCTTTCATCATAAATCAATCTATTTCCAAGGAAGTCAAAGACATAGTTTTTTGGATATGGCATTGGCTTAAAGTCTTTCAAGGTACGTCTATTTTTCTGCAACTGCTTCTAAATTTCCTTCAATGTTAGTTCTTGGATTTCTTCATCTGATGGTGATAGTTCTACAATTGAATTTTAAATAGAAGTCAATAATGTATATATATCATAGTATATATATGTAGACATAAAGTGATAGCATAGTAATTAATGAAAGAAAGACATATAACCTAGATTATGTGACAATCTTCTTTGTTCATAAATGATATCATCTGATAAGTATCTCCATGAATTGCGCCAAACATGGTCAGGCCTATTCATTAAAGCTGATAGCAACATTGTAACAAAAAGCTTACGCAAAAATACCCCAGAACCCCAATTATAAGCATCTTTTATTGCCTCAATGAACTTTTTGTCATCTTGCAGAAAACCCATTGCAAAACATGCCTCTTTGAAAGTTTGATGCTTGAACTCGTCGATTGCTTTGATGTCATCATAACTGGCAGACCCTTTTTTAACCGTCAATAACATCCTCATATAATACAACTCTCCTATTGTTAGAAGAACCTAAATCAACCGTCCAATTGTGTAACCTCTTTTTCTTGGTTTCCAACACTTTTTACTTTTGACATAAACAAACTTTTACACAAATTGCCCGTATGTCAATAACTTTGCTTCCTCATAATCTCTATTTTCCACAAACCAATAAGTAAATATTGACTCTGTGATACTTGGTTTAAGAAAGACATTTCCAATTTGTTCTAAATCCTTGTAGCATACAGAATTCTCACCTCCCATATGAAAAAACAACCTTTGCAGGCTTCCACCCATGAATCGAATAGGAAAAGATTCTCCAGCATGCCTCGCTTGGTGAAATATATTTGCAATCAAGGCATCCTTTCAATCATTATAACTTAGTTCAAACAACCAGTTCCCTCTTGTACCAATGAATTCTTCTCCCTAGTACAGTTAGCCTCCTCTTAGGCTTTGTTAAATTTACTTAACCTTAAAACACTTCATGAAAGAGAGGATTATTTCTCGGTGAAACCTTTCTTTTAAACCCTTTTAACCCTGGAACAGTTCAACAAAGAAAGGATTATTTCTCGGTGAAATCTTTCTTAAACTCTTCTTAGACTTGAAGAGTCTCAATCCCCAGCCTCCTCTTGGGCTTCATACAAGGACCCACAGGCTTCCTAAAAGCATAGGATAGATCCTAGTCAGCTTTATCAATATACAAAATCCCAGGAGAGTCAAAACCTCCAGGACATTCACTGTCATCCTTTGATCCTTTTCTAATCCTCAACAAGGGTTGACTTCCACTTAACAATCCCCAACCAGGGTCAATTTACAATCAATAAATCCCCAAAAGAATTAAAGCCCTTTTGGCATTTAAACTTTCTTCTAATCTTTAGTAAGAGCCAGTCTCCACTTAAATTCCCCCAGCCTCCTCTTAGGCTTCATATAATGATTTCCCCAGTCATCCTCAATCTTGGGCTTTGTACAAGACATATATAACACTCACCAGTTAAGTCAGTTTTTAATTTTTCAACTTCAACCTTGGGATTTGATCAAGGCACAAAATTCAACATCCCCACAGATGAGACTATGAGTCCTCTCTGTAGGAGGACATCCCTTTTATACATCACCTTTCAAATCAAATCAAAAATTCAAATCAAATTGTTTTACATAAAGGAGAATTTGCCATTGCTCTGGATATTTCAAAGTCCAAGTTAAAAGTTTCTTCCCTTATGTTAAAACTCATAAAAAAGGATGTGGCATTGCTCTGGATATTTCAAAGTCCAAGTCAAAAGCTTCCTCCCTTTTCTTAAAACTCATGAAGAAAGATGTGGCATTGCTCTGGATATTTCAAAATCCAAGTTAAAAGTTTCTTCCTTCATGACATTTTACTTCTTCTATAAAGGAAGATGTAGTATTGTTGGATTCCACACATCGCAGTTAAAGCAACTTCCCTTATAATGTTTTCTTCAATGTTTGTGATGAATAGGTGAGATATCTTCCTTTAGAGATGACAAATTCTCTCTCATTCAAACTTTTAGCTTCAATATTGGGTTTTGAACAAGACACAAATACTCTTTTAGCTTCAATCTTAGGCTTTGAACAAGACACCAAATAATTTCCTCCCATAGATTAGGAGGAACTACATAGGCTCTGATTTTTCAGTTTCATTTTTGAGAATACGTAGGCATAAGATTGCGAAATCTTAGCGAGCATGCTAATAAAACCTTTAGGTCCAGGTACCTACCAAAAACAATAGGAAACCATAACACAACAAAAACATTTCCTCAATCTTCACAAAGGAGAAACTTTCCTAATCAAACAGTAAAACAAACCTAAGCAAGCAAGTAATTCAACAGTAAAAATATGCAATAAAGGTTCTTATAGAGTACTATATATATTCAGGGTGTTAATAGCTTCCCTTAGTATAACCTACCCCGATTCCAGATCTCTTAACATTTGTAAGAATAACATTTGCGAGTAGCGTTAGTTTGAGATTCATTTCCCTTCCTTTTAAGCATCATAGGATAAATATTAGAAATCAAAAGTAGCGTTAAATGCGGTAGTGGTCGCGTCACTAAAACTGGAGCTACAATTGGCTTAATATAGAAAAGAAGCCTGTATTAGTATATAATGAACCAGACATGAAGATCTATTTATGTTATAGTACATCAGTTTCATTTGTTGTCGCCAAAGATGTATGTTTCGGGAAAGGTATGTCTGTATCAACATCTTTTCCTTTAAGTGTCGGAGAGCAAGTGGAAACCTTAGAAGTTTTCTAATTTATGTCAAAATAAGGGGTGTAATATGTTAGTCAAATGCAAAATTCAAAAAGATTTATTTCCCAATTCAATATATGTGTAGTGTGAATAGAAGACTTGTCTTAGTAAGAACCATGAAATCTTTAATCATTTGGATGACCTCTTTATCCTCGGTAAGCCTAACGAAAAATGCCTATTTGAAGGTTGGCTGGTATTTTGCACAAAAGGCAAACTCTTTGTCTATAAGACAATCAAGATGAGTCGAGTAGATACAGGGGTGATCTTCCGTAGTCTTTGCAGATGTTGTCGATTACATGAAAATATACAGTGATGAGTAGAAGTAAAAAGGTTTTTCCATATTGTCGCACCTCGAAAAATCACGGAGACATTTCGGAGAAACGACCCTCGCGCGAAAGGCGCAGAAATGCGGTTCGACAGAGTCGCCACCGAACTTTATTTTTCCTGAATAAAGGGGAGAGGAAAATATCGAGAAAACCTCTTAAAACGAAAAGGATAGGAACAGGGCTGTCGTAACCAAGTTCCGGGTTCGGGAGTCGGTTAACTAAGAAAAATTAATAATTCACAAAATGTTCTTAGGCCACGTGTCACGCCTTAATTGGTCAAAAAGATAAATTTCTGAAAAATCAACCAATTGCGAGCGGACACGTGTCTAAATAACAAGAAATTAATCGGGCAATGCAAAAGTGAAAATAGATTTGAAAATGCGAAAATAATTGAAAATGGGTAGGACAAATTTAGGGTATGACAGATGCCCCTATCTAATTGGCTTAAACCCAGAGAAATGAACTGCTGCAGCGTTCCTTTTCCCGAGGTAAAAGTTGATTAGATATGAAGACGACCCTGAATTTGTCTGAAAAGAAAACAAATGCTTGTGAATTGAAATACTAATAAATGTAAACCTCTGAGTAAACTGTAAATAAAATGACAAAAGGTCGTCATCACCAAAAGGATGATGGGATGAAACGCACACGGCTACTACCACCAAAAGGATGATAGAGCAACACACTCGCACAATCTGACATTAATGACTATGCTAGATCCCCCACCAAAAGGATGACAGAGTGAAACTCACACCGACCACTACCACCAAAAGGATGATAGGACAAACACTAACGCATAATCTACCACCAACAAGATGACAGACCCCCCACCAAAAGGATGACGGAGCAAAACTCACACCGGCCACTACCACCAAAACGATGATAGAACAAACACTATTCCACAATCTAACACCAACAAGATGATAGACCCCCCACCAAAAGGATGACGGAGCGAAACTCACACCGGCCACTATCACCAAAAGGATGATAGGACAAACACTATCGCACAATCTGACATCAACAAGATGACAGACCCCCACCAAAAGGATGACGGAGCGAAACTCACACCAGCCACTACCACCAAAAGGATGATAGGACAAACACTATCGCACAGTCTGACACCAACAAGATAACAGACCCCCCACCAAAAGGATGACGGAGCAAAACTCACACCGGCCACTACCACCAAAAGGATGATAGGACAAACACTATCACACAATCTATCACCAACAAGATGACAGACCCCCGCCAAAAGGATGACGGAGCGAAACTCACACCAACCAATACCACCAAAAGGATGATAGGACAAACACTATCACACAATCTGACACCAACAAGATGACAGACCCCCCCACCAAAAGGATGACGGAGCGAAACTCACACCGGCCACTATCACCAAAAGGATGATAGGACAAACACTATCGCACAATTTGAAACAAACAAGATGACAGACCCCCCACCAAAAGGATGACGGAACGAAACTCACACCGGTCACTACCACCAAAAGGATGATAGGATAAACACTATCGCACAATCTAACACCAACAAGATGACAGACCCCCCACCAAAAGGATGACGGAGCGAAACTCATACCGGCCACTACCACCAAAAGGATGATAGGACAAACACTATCGCACAATCTGACACCAACAAGATGACAGACCCCCCACCAAAAGGATGATGGAGCAAAACTCAGACCGACCACTATCACCAAAAGGATGATAGGACAAACACTATCGCACAATCTACCATCAATAAGATAACAGACCCCCCACCAAAAGGATGACAGAGCGAAACTCACACCGGTCACTATCACCAAAAGGATGATAGGACAAACACTATCGCACAATCTACCATCAATAAGATGACAGACCCCTCACCAAAAGGATGACGGAGCGAAACTCACACCGGCCACTACCACCAAAAGGATGATAGGACAAATACTATCGCACAATCTACCATCAATAAGATGACAGAGCCCCCACAAAAGGATGACGGAGCAAAACTCACACCAACCACTATCACCAAAAGGATGATAGGACAAACACTATCGCACAATCTGACACCAATCCAGATGACAAACCCCCCACCAAAAGGATGACGGAGTGAAACTCACACACACAGGTTGCTATCACCGAAAGGATGATAGAACGACATAAATTAAAAGTTACCAACACCAAAAGGATGCAGGCTAAGTTGAACCGACGAGGTTCGGCTATCACCAAAAGGATGATAGTAAAGCAATTGACAACGATCACGCTTGCTGGATACAACTCATTGGGGAACACCCGAGAGGAAGATTGGATTGAAATGAATTAGCGGGGATGACCCATTGACTTGCTTGGAGGTCACGGTTTTGTTGAAATGATTTCATGAGGAACGTCCATGAACTTGAAGAGGATGCCCCTGACTGAGCTGA